ATAATTAAAAATTAAAAAAAAAAAACACAACCTGACTCAATCCGAAGATATTGAGTTGGATTGATCATCCAATTCAAAACTTGACAGTTCCTATGTATGGCCAACCCGAAAATACGGGTTGGTCCCAAAACTCCTCATAACTTAATCCCACCCAACCTGTGAACACCACTAAACTACACCAAGGTTCAATGGTAAAAATTAAATCCTTAACTTCTCATTAATAAAAAATTTTAAAAATTAAACATTTAAACTTTTAGGTAAGAAAAATGCATCCTAAACCTTTGAATGGTGAAAACTAAACTCTCAAATTTCAAAAAATTGTACCAATTTTACTCTATTTCTCTCTCATATTTTCTGCTTTCTCTCTCTATATTCCTCCTCTTTTTAGGTATATTTTTTTTAATTTATAAAATTTGAAGTTTAATTTTTACTATTAAAAGGTAATGGTAACAACTACCACATTTTAAATAGTTTGTATAATTTATTTAAAATTTATAATTTTTTCATATTTCAATGAAGAATTTAATATTTTAATTAATTGAATTAGACTCGTGTTATTCATTACTTTTAATAGATAAATTTTTATCGSGTGTCGGAAGCATACGCTGACAGTGGATAATGTTATAAATGGAAATGTAAAAACGAGACGACACGTCGACCACGCTGCAAAGCTCTCTCTTTCTCATGCAAAGTGAAGGACACGTAATTTGACTCAGTGAGTCGGGTTGGCTACAAATGGAAATTAATAATCCTTTTTTGTAAGGAAATGAAAAATAATAAAAAATAAGTTTGACTTTGTGGTTTGTGCACATATCTGCCGATCGCCATAGCAATAATTGTTGATTCATTGTGTTAAAAAAAAAAATTGTTGATTCATTGGAATCAAATTATTTAAACCCACATTTTTCTTATTAAATTAAGAACATCATGAGCCTTATGGTATCACCATAAAGTCTTGTTCAAGTTTTTAGATTAATTTAAACCAAATTTCTTGTGTTTCTCGGGCGCAAATATCTTTTATAATAAGAAAACTAAATAGCTATCCATCCTGAGTTATATATAAAAAAAAATTATAATAACTAGAGTATTTTCTAAATAAATAATGTTGATGCAGAAATTTGATTTATTGGAATTCCGCTAATATTCGCACCAATCTTCTAGAATAAAGGATGGATGAGACRTGCAAAACAGAATAACATTAGGATCGGARTAGTTGAGTATAAAGTGTAGGGTATTGTGAAYATATCTCTAAGGTTTGGCTTACCCTTCTAYTTATAGAAGTGGAACCCTAATCCCTTTAGGAATTACCAAAGTTGAATCTTAGTGTGCATAGGAGATCTCGACTTCTGGGCCTGTGCGTTTTGTAATGCGTCCAATGTCGAATCCAGGGTCGAGACAAGGTAACCTCAGATCGGGTTGCACGGGGGTCGGGAGAGAACCATCGAGAAGGCCTTGGCGTCGAGGTCTGGTCGGTGCCGACCTCGAGTCGGCTATGGCCGGCCCGGGTCACTGGGTTTTGGCCCCTTTACCTGGTGAGCTCGCTCCTCCTCCAACCCAACTCCTGTCTTTTGCTCGTCCAATCTGATATCGTTTTATCTTCCTATAACAAATAAAATTCAATATTTCAATAGATAAAAATGTTCGTCACATAGTTGAGACTTATATTTAATCATATCACTCATCTATAGTATATATAAAAGGGGTTATAAGGAGAAACTTTATCCTCATTATGTTGATGGCAATTTTGTCATTCACTCCCTACTCATTTTTTTATATAATTTATGTATTAATAAAGGAAGTTATTAAATGTGGTCATGAACGTGCACATCTTATCTTCCAAAAAAGTAACTGTTTGTAATTTTTTTTAAACAAAATGAACTTTATTAAAGACCATCTAGRATTACGTGTATAGAATAATGTCCATTGGTATCACTAGGAAAACAAGTGGGAAAAAAATTATCCCTTATATTAACAATCCAGAGAAACTTTTCTGCCGCTTGAAAATATTAATAATCCGAGAGCCATATTTATTTCACGCCAGACAAATTCCCTGAACMAAAAACTATTATAAAATTAGAAAGACAACCGTAAACCATTTATATTATAATAAATATAATCATCTTGATTCGGATATAATTAATTTTTAAAATGTCCCATTTCAAAATGAAGAAATTAAAATTAAAATAAAAAAAATCAAAGGAAAAGAAAGTTGACAGAATATATTGCCTATGTTCCTCTCCTTGCTCTCAAGTGTGCTATTCTATTGATCTCTTTGAATTCGTGTATTTTTTTGGAATTATCATTGTTGAATTTTCTTCTCTCTACTTTCGTTTTTTTTTTCAGGAGAAGATTTGTTGGCAATGAATGGAAAGGTAATCATCATCGAACTGTAGATCAGAGCATGGACAAAATTAGGTCAGGGAAAGAATAATTCCATGAAAATTGGGTTGATTCTTTTTTTTTTTCCGATGTGAAATTCGCAGAAGAATTAGTAGGTGCGTCACAAGGTCGTCATTGGCTAAGGACGAATATGAACTACTTCGTAGGTGGATTGCAGGATAATGTAGAAAGGATATKCCCCTGATAATTTGATCAACCACGCCTCTATAACCCATAAATCTCTATTATCATTTCAGATGGAAGAACCAACGCAACTGTGACTTTAAAAACTATGCTCTCAGCGTCATCATTAATCCAAGGTAGTATGCCTTTCCATTTTTAACACCAAATCTTTCTAATTTTGTCTGTTCTTCATTCTTTTTTCAGTTTTTTTTTTTCAGTTGTGGTTCCAATTTTTCAAGTCATCAAAACTACATTTACCCTTGAATTATAGAGGAGACAATTACCCAACTCAAAAGAGAAAATTTTTTAAGTGATTTAAAAAGTTTTATCTGAAGTTGTGATTAGGTAAGTGGGAAGAGATAGATATTGAATATTAAAAAACCTTCCCCATCAAAACTATCGGCTTTAGCCTCTCTCTCTTTTTTTTTCTTTCCTTCTTTTCAAACGTTTGTATTTTAAAGATTACTTGCTTCCACCCTGGTAAGATCATTTTTAGAAAGATTTAAATATTGATTCCTTAGCACTCATCTTTAATATTTTTTTAGAAGCTATACTAAATAAGAAAATCTATTTATAGATTAGATCAAACGAAAATAATATACATTAGATGTATTTAAAAAATCAATTTGCAAACTATACAAAATCTAAGCCTTACATTTTATATGTTAGTGGGTGGAGATAGAAAAAGGGAGAGAAAATTAAAGAAATTTAGAGGGATGGGAATAAAATGAGTTTGTATTTGAATGTCAAAATTGCTCCAAGTAAATAGTAATAAGATGATAAATTTCACGTGCATCGCACGTGTTACTAACTAGTTATTAAAAATGGAATTATATATGTTTTTTTTAGTTGAACCGAGAGCGGAGGATTCAAGCCTCTAATCTTTAGGAAAATACTCAATCTCTTAATTAGTTAAACTATGCTCCCATTTGAAAAACATAAAAATGAGACAATAGTAAAAAGGTTTAGCATGAAATGCACAAAGAAGAAATATCTGTAAAATTACAATATAATTGATTGAATTTCTTGTCTTCAGAAGCTCAACCAAGACAATTGTTAAATAGACATTTAAGAGAATAAATAAGTAATTTTACACATATTGACCTTCATGATTTTCTACTAAGGAAATAATAGCAACCGTAAAATGAAGAAAAAGATTCTAGATAATATGGAAGGTTTGGCTGGAACAATTAAGGCGATAGTTGGCAATGAGGAGAATGATTTGAGGAAGATTATTCTCCAACTGTATGGTCATATCTTTTACTGATATGGGCTGAGATTGAATAAAAACAACCCGTTAATGGTGRCAATAAATATTGCCTATTATTGACCTGGAAGTTAAGGTACTGCTGATGTGGCTGTTGCTTGGTGTTCATATTTGCATTTTTCATTTACAAATAGTAAGTTAAATGAATGTCTTTTAGTATCAATTGTATCGYGTTGTTTAAATTAGAATGTTTTTACTTTGCCTCCATCATGTATTTCTCACATACCTTATGAATGAACGGTGTTTCCCTTAAAAAAAAACATTGTATCCTTATGTATATATCATCCCATTCTATTAATTGCTCCAATTAAAAGTTTAAACGTGCAAATTTGTTCTTTAAAAAAATTTTCAAATATTTTTTAAAAAAATGTTCGAATCTCTCACTCTTTATTACTAAGAAAGAAAGAAAAAAAAGAGAAGACGAACGTACATGCATCTCCTTAGGAACGAAGTCCTTGTCTATAAGTTTACTTGTTGAACTTTTAGAGTAAGATTCCTTTAGTATTTCTACTTAAAACGTTTTYTTAAGTAAGTCCCAAAAGTTTCAAGATTATTTCTATATGTTAATCTTTATATTTTAAAAAGATTCTAATGAGTTTATGAACTTTTAATTTTGTATCAAATAAGTCTATGAAGTGTTTAACCATGAGGTTTAATGCTTACGCCATGAAATGCTTGAAGTATAAATTATTCCATCACATAATCTTTAAATAATACMGTCASYATGCCACATAAGCATTAAACTAACACASTTAATATTGTAGGAATCTATGCAAGTCCAGTTTCAAAATTGTTGAGGCATTGTTCCAACTCAAATAAGTTCTCCTCTTTCATGGCACAGTAGTAAGAGGCTTGGGTGTTGACACTCAAGATTCAGGTTCGAGTTCTCCTGTGTCTAGTAGTAAAAAAAAAAAGTTCTCCTCTTCCAAGGTCTGTAAATAATAATAATAATAATAAAAGAACTTTAACAAATAAAAAGTTAACAACTGTCGGGATAGCAAGGGTAGTACTTTAATTACAAGACAACATGTATGGTAAGATTTATGGAACTCCACATATTATATATAAAAAAATTATTCAATGTTTCTATATTTGGATGAGAGGACAAGAAGATGGAGTTGAGGGAAACAAAAAACACCCAAACGTGATATTATATTATTCAAAAGTGATTCTCACTTTCCCATGCTTTTGGTACATCAAAATTTACAAACTTTACATTATTAAAAAGGCAAAAGGTAACCCAATATTAAAAAAGGGGCTTAAAACTTTTATACTTATACTTAAGAAACCCACACAAAAAAAAGAAGACAAGAGAGAGTGATTATTATTATGCTATGCATGGAAAGTTGGTTCAGAGTCCTCCAATTCAATCCCCTCATCAGCCAACCTCTTGTCCTTGTACACATACCACTTTGCACAAAACAAAAACACCACCAAATTCAGCACACTCAAAATTGCCAAAAGCCAATAGAAATTGTAAAGCTTCCCTTTGTTCAGATTGTCTGGAATCCATGGCTTCCCATGTGCAGTCACTTTCTGCACAATTGTGACCAACAATGTGCTGAAGAAAAACCCTAATGAAAGTGTGCTTAGAAATAGCCCTGTGCTCATTGTCTTCATCCCCTTGGGACACTCTCTCAGGAAGAAATCCAACTGCCCCATGTACGTGAATGCCTCACCTGTAGGGTCGAGTTCGAGGAAGAGACAAAATTTTACATTCTAACTGTGTATGTATTGAATTTACGGTAAGGTAAATTAAAGAGGTAACTTTGACTCACCTGATCCCACCAGTAAAAATTGTGGTGCCAACCAGAACACGCTCAATGGAACTTCTTCCAAGGGCTTCTCTACCAACCCATTTGCCTCCACCGCCCTCAGTCGCTTTATCTCGGTCAGTGCGGCGGTGACCATGGCGAGTATCGACATAACCAAGCCGACCCCGATCCGCTGCAGTGAGGTCAGGCCTTGTGGGTTCTTAAGCAGTTTCGATGTTATTGGGACGATGAATCGATCATAAATCGGAACGGTGAAGAGGGTGCTGGCGACGAAGAAGACGGTGAGAGAGGCCGCTGGAATTTGGAACGATTTTCCGATGTGCCGGTTCATTGTGGTGGCTTGTGACACAGATAAAGTTGTCATTTGGGCATAAACAGTCCAGAAAAGAATGGTGGTTGCCCAAATGGGTAACATTCTAATCACTAATTTTACTTCCTCTATGTCTGTTAGGGTTGACATGTTCCACTTATTTACCACATTACCAACAATTTCTCCATCCTTGATTGCTGCCTTGTCCAAAAACCTGAATATGCCCAAATTAATAACATGTTCAATAGGTCTTTTCAATTCGATTTAAAYAGAAAATTATTTGAATGTATTGTTCTCTTTTAACCATTGGATGCATGATTAAGACACAATAATAGTAGTATAGTATAAAATCATCAACTATATTGTCGGCTAAATGTTGAAGAAGAGTTGTGTCCAAACATTTTGTAGCGAATAAAAATATTCTTCTCTCTTGTCTGCAAATTGAAAATAACGAATATAAAAGCCTCAATTATGGGTAACTTCCAAGAGTAGAAAAAGTTTTTTGTAGCTTGTCTGCTTCCTGTTGGTTTAGGATATAGTTTTTAACTTATTATTATAGAGCATAATACGTGGCCAAAGGTAGAATTTGGCTTGGATTTTTTGGCCTCTATGTAATCGCAAGTTTAGTGCATGATTATCTAAATTATATTTTCGATTACATTATACCAACTATGTTGACTATATTTCATTAAATATYGATTGTATTATTATGATTTTTCAATTTTAGGAAATGGGTTTGTGATTTTTTTTTGTTAAAAAATTCTACTTCGTAGCATAAATTTAATAAAACAAACAATTAAATTTTAAATGTGAAGATCCATGGGATAACCATTCGTTTTTTGTTTCATTTTTTAAAAATCAAACCTAGAAATGTTACTTCTACCTTGTGTCTCATTATTTTGCTATTTACTTTTAAAAATTTTCTCAAAATTTAAGGCAAAATTTGAAAATTAAAAGTAGTTTTTGCTTTTGGCGATTGGCAAAAGATTCTTTATAGGGAAAAACCTACCAAAAGAATTACGATTAATAAGTAATATTCCATACGTAGAAAAAACCAACCTGAATTGTTTGGTGCGGGGGAGCTTCTGCTTCTTCTTCTTCGTAGCTCCATCGTCGACATTGTCATCAATGTCGAACAACAAAAACGGATCAGACGGCAACTCCAAGCTCCTCTTCTTCCACGCTGCAATGAACACAGTGGCAATCTGCGTCAACGGGCTGCCAACCAATTTCTTAAAACGGTACCGTCTAGTTCCCGACAGGAACACGATCAAACCCAACACAATGGCACATGCACATATCCCATAACCCCATTGTCTGCCCACGTTGTCTTGAATGTAAACGAGAATTGTCACAGCTCCAAGTGAGCCGATGCTTATGAAGAAGAAGAACCAGTTGAAGAACTTGCTCATCTTCCCTCTTTCCTCTTTGTCGGAGTCGTCGAACTGATCGGAACCGAAGCCGGAGACGCTCGATTTTAGGCCGCCGGTGCCGAGCGCCAACAGGTATAGTGCTAGGTAGAGAATAGCCAGCTGCTTGCCGTTCGCCGGAATGCATGGGGTGTTGGTGAGTTCCGGTGAACATTTTGGAGGTCGGAGACTTGGAATTATGGTGGAGATTGTCAAGATAGTTACACCCTAATGCCACAAAATTTAGATTAATTCAAAAACATATTTTGGCTGAATAAACTTGGTTTTTTTAAATTCTCAAATGAGGTCCTAGTTTTTTTTTTGTTAAAAAATAAAAATAAATAAATAAAGAAAATTAGACACAGTAAAGTAAATCTTAATTACCGTGGCTTGAACAGCTGCGAAAATGGAAATGGTGAGATACCTTTGAGAAGAAAGAGATAAAATAAATCAGAAAAGAAAAACCATGGAAATAAATAAATTGAGTTAGAAGGAGAAAAAAAAGAAAAAGAAAAGAAAAAAGGAAATATAATTAATTAATTAATAAATTTACCGGCCGAGAAAAGTGTCGGCGACAAAACCGCCGAGCAAACAGAGCATGAAGGAAGTGCCGAGGAAGTTCGTGACATCGTTGGCCGAAGTAGCATTCCCGAGATGCATTGTTTCCGTTAAATACGTCACCAAATTCACGGCGATCCCCAACGTCGTCAGCCTCTCCACGGCCTCAGTCCCTGCCAAAACGCAGCGTTTTAATATCATCGTCAACCCAAAAAAACCCACGTTAAAACAGGCCGAACAAAGAAGGAAGGAGAGAAAAATACCTTTTAAGTACTTATTAACTACCGTTCAAGTTTTTACGAATAAKAAAGCGAAATACAAAAGAAAGTTATATTTTTTTTTTCCAAAAAAATCACAAAACTATCATATTTTTATTGATGGTGAGATAGAGGAGCGTAAAATTCAAGAAGAGGATAATCTCTCAAACAATGGTATAATTGAAGTGTTATAAATGCTAAGCTTTCTTTTTTCCTTTATATTTTGGTGTTTGTTAATAAAATTTTTAGACCTGCCACTGAATATAACAAAGGAAGAAAGAACGAGAACGGGACAAACCTAGAATCATGGCAGCGGCGACCCAGCCACCGGTTCTGGCCCGGGARGCGGGTTTGCCGGTGTAGTCCCAAGCATCTGGGAGAGTCTTCTCTAGAGCTTGAGCATGAGCTTGAGGGAGAATGCTCATGGTGTGGCTTTGGGCTGATGAAGAAGAAGGGAGTTTGAAATGGATATGATATGTGGCAAACTGGGATGCAGATTCTGCACGAACTTGGACCCTTTTTATAGCACAACTTCATACCCGCTTGACGTTTCACCACTAATTTTAATTATATTATTATTCTTTTAACTATTTATTTTATTACTTATATTCTATGTATTTTATATGTTGGAAATTTCAAGTTTCAATTTGTTTATTTAAGTTATCATAATTTTTAGGGTTCTTTTTTTCTGTGGGGGTTTATACTTTATAACAGTGGTTGTTTTTCCAATGAAAAACACAAAGAAATATACCAGACATCTTGTAGAATAATATATATATATATATATATATATATTTTTTTTTTGGAAAAACAATGTAGTTTTGTCCTCGTAAAAGAAAATTTTAAATAACCTATTGTTTTTAGTACAGCGATTGAGGATAAAGGATTCATATTTGTTTTTAGTCGGAGATAAATGTCTAAACTAATTAAGTTATTCTTAAATGATTAACTTAATTGAAATACATTATTTTACTTCATTATAGAACATATGTGAATAGATACCCACAATTCCTTTAGGTTACATATCCTTATTAATCCCTCCCATGAACTCCCATTATTCTCACGGGTTATAAATTTAGAATTATGTAGTAGTAGTTTGTTGTTGTTTTTTTTTTTAATTTTTGAAACAAAGAATTATGTAGTCTTGTAATATATACTATTGTAATCCGATAAATAGTAGTTGTTGTGAAGCTTTGGAATACGCATATAAATAATGGTTGTAGCTTTGGAATACACAATAAAGTGAGAATCATACCTTTTTCTTTTAAATCCAAGAATATTATTGTAACACAAATACTAATATAGATTCAACAAGAATATTATTGTAACACAAATACTAATATGGATTTTGAATCTATCGTGGTTTAGGAGCAAGTTTAACAATTCTTCTTGATATTTCATTAAACTTATATGGTCGCCATTTAATTGATTAGTTTGATGGCTAAATATATTAAATGATCTTTTCAACTTTTTAATCTTTTAACCTAAAGTATGGAAGGGATTATCTTCAAAGTGATGATATTACTGAAAGACAAGTAAACTCAGTTGATATGAGCATAGTTCAATTGGTTAAGGTACAAAAAATAGTGAGTTCAAATTCCAATTCTAGATATTATATTAAAAAAATAAACTCAATTAATTAATTAACAAATAAATTATTATTATTGTTTTTTAGAAAGCGACCCACCATTCATTCAAAAAGTATGTGAGAAACATAAAATATAGGGAGGCTAAGTAAAAGCATTCGAGTTCAAAGAGATGGTGGAAGTGTCCTAATTACAAAACAAGGTCGATTTTGTGAACAAAGAAGAACATCGGTTTTTATGTGTCCTCCCACATATTTGTTATTGATCTAGGAATGTCGGTGAAGATGCGATTGTTTCTTTCAGCCAAATATATCAAAGAATCGAACAAAACCTATTACACCAAAGCACATTTCTACTAAAAATGAGATTGTCCGGTCTGACAGAAAAAGTTAAATTATGAACTAAATAACTACTCTCTCTCGAGTATCGCCTATTCTTAGTCTAACGCATTATTCCAACTCAGATTAAATAAAAGATGATGTATTAATCATAATAAATAATAYTTTTAGAAAATTTAAACAGTATCATATTTTAATGCATGTTTAAATGCCCAAAATACCTATTATTTTAGCAGTAATTCTACTTATTTTCACGAGTCAAAACCTAACCAAATTGAAAACAATATTTGCTTCTTTGAACATAATAATYGCGTTACTATTAAGAATAATATATGAGCTTTAGCAATTAATTAATAATTATAATAGTTTAAAGCTCGATTTTAGAGTCGCAATTATTTGCGGTCTCTCCRGTTCAATATTTTAACTAGTTGATTCATGTTTGTATTAACAATTTTTTAAATAAATTAATTTTTATTGGATGTCGRTTGAAGCATATGCTGAGAGTTGATGATATTATAAATACTAAATAGAAATGTAAAAACGAGACGACACATCGACCACGCTTCCCAGCTCTCTCTTTCTTATGCTAAGCGAAGGACACGTATTTTGACTCAGTGAGTCGGATCGGCTACAAATGGGAATTAATAATAAATTTTTCTTTTAAGGAAATGAAAAATAATAGAGATTTTCGTTATTTGAAAAATAAGTTGACTTTGTGGATTATGCACATATCCGCCATTGCAATAGTTGTTGATTCATTGGAATGATAATTACATGAGATTCGAATTATTTAAACTTAAATTTCTTTTTTATTGAATTAGGAACATAGTAACTTTGTGATATCACCTACTACAAAGTCTTGCATTTGAGTTTTTAGGTTAGTTTAATACCAAAAAACTTTAATGTCTCTTGAGTTCGAGCCTTGGAAYGGGTGCGAGTGCACCCCCGATTATAGAGGTAAAAAACTAAAGAACTACTGATTCCAGAACATTATCCTTAATGTATCTCCTCAAGATGGTGATTCTTTTAAGTTGGCCGAATCTCATTTTTGGATAAAATGTTAGTTTGAGCATTTTGGACTCTAATACCATATCAATATTCATGAGTTCCATCTCAAAATGCTATGAGAGAAGTGACCGATGTCTATTATAAATCATTATTGTTAAGGAYCCCACATTGAAAAGAGAAGRGACCTAACAATGGTTTATAATAGACATGAYTACTCTTCTCATTGCCAATTGGTTTTGAGATGGAACYCCATGAATATTGATAATTGTCATGTCCCTTATSTTTTCAACCTTTTGATCGAAAATATATGCTTTAACCAGTTCAACTACGTTTAGATTGACTAAAATTAATTCAAGTTAATCTTTCAATATACAAAAGTTATATATAGACGTGTATGTATAGTATTCTTAATCTTTACCTATGATTTTACAGTCCTTAAAATTAAAATTGTTTTGATTGAAATTTTCAAGTAGCACATTGTGATATGTACTGATGTAATAATAGAGAGACTTAACCTAATATAGCATATAATTTGTGGCTAGGGTTTKGCATCTGGTTCATATATGGACCCATTAAGAAAGTCTTCTTTTGCCTATTTCCCATTTGAGTTTACTAACACGTTTCTCTTGTAGACCAAAATATAATAAATTAGTCCATTATATAAAGTCCAAGTCTAGAAAATAAAATTGAATAATAATTATAAAAGAAGACTAGAAATAAAATTATTTCATCTAATAAGTAATGGGTGAAATGTCCTACTTAATTCACAATATTTTCTCTAACATGCATATTAAAAAGATGAGCAAATTAGAGACCTATAGCAAATATTTAAACGCAAGATATTTTACTTCATAGTACAATGTTAAAAGATCTATTAGTACTTGTGGGTATGACGGAGTGATCTTAGGGTTGAATATTGATTCGTAGTGAATTCCAATTCCACTTGTATTAGGTAATTTGGTGGTAAAAAAAAATGGTACAAATAATAAGAGAACTGGTCCATTGTCGTCCTCAAAATACCAACACATTAAATATGTATAAGCTAAATTAAATGTATGCAAAATAGAATAGCTAACATATATGATTACCCTTTTAGGTTAAAAAAGCAACCTCTTACCTAATTCTGTCCATTTAATTTACATTAATTAGATTGTTAACCCTTCTAAAAAGAATTTGGTCACAAGTGGGGAAAAAAACCCCGTAAGCATATTCTAAACGTCTTAAAAAAACATTGACATCATCGTTTTTCCACACGCATCTAATTTAAAAAATATTGATATCATTGTTGAAAACAACCAATCTAACTCTTCTATTTTCCTCATTCTACTAAAAAACCAAACAGAAAAAACAACAACATTGAACATTAAACTAAGCATGAAACTAAATAAAAAAAATGTCCTACAGGTGAAGAAGAGAATTTCTTGGTAATCTTTCATGTGCTCCAAGAGCCACATCCAAAACCAAAAAAAAAAAAAGGATGATTTAAAAAAGTCAAAAGATTGACCACTCAAAACCAATGGGCTTCCATTGATTTGGCCCCTAAGAGACCATATTTTCCTTAAAAAAATAAGAGCTAAATTAGCAGCTGATGGAGAGAAGTTTGCCACTTGTGTTTAATGTTAGTTGCCTATTGGTAGGTCTTGAAATAATTTATCGTATAAATTATGATAGCCACAAACATAAACAAATTTTTAGCATGCACATATATGAAATTAATGGGCGGCAAGAAATTTGTCAAAGGGTATAATAGGAGATGATATGATAAGCGATGGGTGATCAGGAAATATAATAAACGTATGAAAATAAATTGGTTTTTTCTTTAATCATTAGAATCACATTAATAACTTAATACTTTCAGCCACTTTTAGTCTAGGTAATATATAAATAGTAAGCACCCCTTCGATATATATAGCAAGTAATGTATTTGAAATAGTTCTAAAATTTACAAGTTTTAGTTTGACAATTCTTAATATACGTTATTATACGACTCTTGTGTTCATTTTGATCTATTCGTTTGTATATGTCTTTTATGTCTATGTTCCTATGATATAAAAAATGTGAGGTTCAAAATAATAAGTTTGGTAATTAATATATCTAGAGACTTTATTCAGGAAAATCTCTTCACACCACATACATAACCCCTTTGGTGCAACGTTATTGGACTACTTTTATGGCACGTATGGCTGGAAAGAAACAATAAAACCTTTGTAGATTTCTCTTAAAAGTATCTTTAATCTTTGGGAGGATAATATAACCATCATGATATCAACGTTGTCTTCAAAATCCACTCCTTTTTTGTAATTACGATGTTGTATGTATTTCTGTCGAAGCTCTTTTTCTTTTTAAGTCATCTCCGTCTTTTTTTTTTATTCCTCACATATTTCTAATGAAATAATACTTTGTTAAGATATATATATGATGTAAGAATAATAATACAAGGTTTATTTTTTTGAAAGGAAAAAGAGACAAGGTTTATAATATATATACTTAATTGAAGTGGGAAAAAGGTGATTTTTGTAAATAAAAAAATGG